CAAATACAGATATAAGTGATGAGCAGCTTCACCAAACAATGATCACATTATAAAGGAAATATGCTGTAACATGTTTTTCTGTAAAACAAAGAGCTATCCAGAGAAAACTGAGTCAAAGTGTTCAAGCAGCAGCAGCAGCAGGAGGCTGAGAGAAAACAGCTGCAAAAGAACTAAAGTCAGTGAAACAAAGAACATCAGGAAGGTTCAGAGAGCAGCAGCTGTCAGCAGATTGAACTGCAGAGAGAAAAGTGACTCGGCTCACTTTACTGTTAAAAGACTCTTAAAGGGCAGCGGCCACTTTGTTTCTACACAGCAGCAGCGTCGCAGTTCAGACTGCAGCTAACATGAAGCAGGACTTCAGACTGAGGAGGTTCCTCTGATCTTCATCACTCTGTTTCAACAGCAGCTCCATGAAACCTTTTATCTCAGTCCATAGGATTGATCATTTTTAATGAGGTGTTAATAAAGAGCAGCAGAAAAACACTTTATTTGTCAACAGGTAATAATTTACTGTTTACACAACAATAAAAACAGGCGGTGACCAGGCAGTAACCATGGTAACACTGTCTCCTCAGTGGTGGACCGGCAGGGCTGCGACCCCAGCACTCGTTTCCTGGTTCCCCCCCGGAGCGTCCACTGGGTGGCGCTGCTGCAGAGAGGCAACTGCACCTTCAAAGAGAAGATCCTGAAGGCGGCCGCCTACAACGCCACGGCCGTCCTCATCTACAACAACTCCACTGACAAGACCGTCAAGATGGGACACGAAGGTCAGAGTCAGACGCATTAGTTTGATGTCACACAGCAGCAGGGACGAGTTCAGGAAGATTTTATCAAACGTTGTCCCTAAAAATAGAGACTTTCATCCAGAAAAACCCTCCGTGTGAACAGTTCATCTGGTCAGAGTGAGACGTCAGTCTGCAGTAGATCTTTGTCTGAGGTTAAAGGTTAAACTAACTGACATCACCAGTTACATCATCGTGACAAGAAAAAGTTGTTGCTGTTTGAATTTATTGCTATGAAGCGACCGCAGTGGGGCCGCAAGCCACGGGTTTCTCTGACTGTGGGGGCGGAGACCAAACAGGGTCATCAGTCAATTAACAGTAATCAAATTCAGATCGATCAATTAACAACGATCACTATCAGACAAATTAATCAAATTACAATTACAAACCGGCCGATCAATTAATTAACAACAATCACAACAAGTAGGGGTCCTCGGACCCTAATTAAACTGATCAATCACTTATAATAGTAATCACAGTCAGAGTTATTAATCAACTACCAATAACCAAAATCCGACAGATGGTTTGTTTGTATTTTTATCCAGAGATGGTGATCTGCAGGATGAAGGTGTGCAGCAGAGACTTCCTGACGATCGATGTCGAGTCTAAATATAGATCAACGTGTCATTAATTGATGAGGTCACTGTGACCTCTCACTGTGTGTGTGTGTGTGTGTGTGTGTGTGTGTTTGATGCGATGCTGACTGTCCAAGAGCACAACCAACAGACCTGCAGAAACATGAACAAACTGATAAAATTATCAGCCAGAAAATACAGAAACAGAAAGAATCTTCTGGAAAACAAACAAAATCTGAGCTTAAAATCACATTTGGTTAAAATCACACGTCTCACTTAAAAATGATCTAAAAATAAACCGTTTATTGTAACCAGATTCTGTAAAAGATCAAATATTCTTCCCTCCTCAGTATAACTGATTCTCTGTGACCAACAATAAAAACATCAGTTTTCAGGTTGAACTGCAGACAGTGTTTCCACTGAGCAGAGAAGAGACGACAGGAGGCAAAATCAAACCTACTGGATCAATAAATAAATGCAGCACAGCTCAGAAACAGTGAACAGAGGAGCCGGCTGTTGGAGATACATTCAGCTGATGGTGGAACATCTTCCATCTGATATCTGATGTTATTAAATGAAGAGAACTGTGGTGCTGTCTCTGGTCCCGGTTCTGGTTGCAGGTACTGGTGACACGGTGGCAGTGATGATCACTGAGGCGTACGGTAAGGAGATCCTGGCTCACCTGGAGCGGAACCTGACGGTCCTGGTCTCTGTGGTGGTGGGTCAACGTGGTCCCACCAAAAACATCAACCGAGGCTCGCTGGTCTTCGTCTCCATCTCCTTCATCGTCCTCATGATCATCTCGTCAGCCTGGCTCATCTTCTACTTCATCCAGAAGATCCGCTACACCAGCGCCCGCGACCGCAGCCAGGTAACGTGCTGACATGCAGGCTAACAGGCTAATGCTGTGTTCAGGTCAAGTTGCTGTGATTTCTGCAGCACATTTAAAGGACCAGCTGCTGTGCCACAGCGCCATCTTCAGAAAAATAGGATTACATATTAATTAAAGTTTAAATATAGAGGTTGAGGCCCTGCAGTGTCCTTTTAAATGATAATTTAGCTGATAAGTTCAAATGTTAAGCAGTAAGACCCGACAACGATTATAGAGCCAAAGCTACGATGCTACATAAATACACCTGAAAACCCCCCAAAAAATTTTTTCTTCTTCTTTGTTTTTGGATAAAATGTTATTTTGGTAAATTTTTTATATTTTGAGTAGAAAACTTGTGACCTCTGGCTTGTTGGACCAGGTGATATCAGTAAATGTTACTGATGAGTCATGAATATTTAATGAGCTCCCCCCTCAGTGTAATCTGATCCTCCTCTGAGGACTCTCCTCCCTCCATCTGCTGCACAACAACCTTCCTTTCACCTCCCTGCAGCGATCGGCCCAAAACGTCACCGTGGTGTTAAGTAATTACCATGGTAACCATCTGCCAGTTCTCACCGTTTGTTGGCGCTAAAATATCAATTATCTTATTTAACTTGACAAATAAAAGGTGAAAAGCGTCTGAAACAGAACAGAGACTGAGTGACGCAGGAACACCTGAAGGTGAGGATGAATCGTGCTGCGTTCAGGTGCTGCAGCTGCTGAAGGTCAGGCTCAGTCAGGTGCACCTGTAAACCTTCATTTACCTGTCAGCTGTTGGTTTATCAGACGATGTCACGACAACAACATTATGCAACATTGAACTAATGATGAATCAGTTTAATATCTCACTCTGTTTGTAGTTGTTCAGGTGTTTTGCTGTGGGCGGAGCTCTCATCATCGTCACACTAAATGTGGGCGGAGCTCGGTGGCATTAGAGCGTTAAATCTGTGCCAAAGAGTCCAGACAACCAAGTTATTGAGTCCTTCCTTGATACAACAGTGGGACAGCAACCATTTCCACTCAGACAACCAAACAAACACTTTCTCCTTAACTCCCTCCAAGTTCTTTTTCTCAAAGTTCTCACACTTTCAGCTCATCTTCCCCCTGCTGATCTAACTGTGAAACCTCTTTAAGGCTCCTCATGCTGTTTTATTTCTGACTTTCTGCCATTTTAAAATCTTTCACCTGCTTCAGAGGAGCTCAAAAACTGTGAGAGAAAGAGCTGTGTCGAACAAACTCGTTAACATGTCTCTGTCTGTCTTTCTTCAGCGACGTCTCGGCGATGCAGCAAAAAAAGCGATCGGGAAGTTGACCACGAGGACGGTGAAGAAAGGAGACAAGGTGAGCCTCCACCAGAACCAGGACCACAGAGACCCAGAATGAAAATCGTTTTCTGCAGAACGTAGTCATAAATTTAAGATGTTGTCTGTGTGTGTTGTAGGAAACTGATCCAGACTTCAACCACTGTGCGGTGTGTATCGAAGCGTACCAGCTGAATGATGTGGTTCGAATCCTGCCCTGCAAGTGAGTCAGACCAGTAGGACCAGTATCAGTCCAGTCTGTCTGTCTGTCTGTCTGTCTGTCTGTCCCGGAGGTTCAGTGTTAACCCCCCTGTGTCCCCTGCAGACACGTCTTCCATAAAGTGTGTGTGGACCCCTGGCTGAACGAACACTGCACCTGTCCAATGTGCAAACTGAACATCCTGAAAGCTCTGGGAATCATGGTGAGTCATGCTGACATCATCATCATCAGGCCAGGTGTGTCTTCGTGATACCTTGTCGTGACCGTCTCCCTCCTCTCTCCTTCCTCAGACCAGTCTTCCTTGTGTGGACAGCGTGGTGTTGGACGTGGAGCGTCTGGGTGTCGGTCAGGCGTCTGGCAGCCAGAGGGCGCCGCTGGGCGACAGCAACCAGCCGTCCATCAGCCTGGAGCCGCTCAGCCCCCCCCACCCTGAGGCCACGCCCAGAACACCTGCTGACATCACAATCGCCGTGACCAGTAAGAACGCAACACGACACGATNGTACAGTGAAACTGTGAATGGCTCAGTTAATCAGTTATGGATTCCTGATGGAACCGTAACTGGTTAAATCAGTCAGTACAGTCACCTGTATTGACTGATGTCAGTATACAACTGTACACACCTGAGGACACACCTGAGGACACACCTGACCTCACAGCACAACTGTGTCATTGTAGTTTTCAGGTGGAGTAGCTGTGTAGTTCATAGTGTTTGGTTCGTTTTCGAATGCTTGTTTCATGGTTCTGTGTCACTGATAATGGTGCAGTTTTGCTGTTGAAACTGTGATACATCCCATAATACTGATGCTTAAAGTTGGTTACAGAAACAAATAGCAAAATCAGATTTAGTATTTATGTTGTGATACCTGTGAGGATGTAAGATTGATTTAGTCGCAGTTTTTAGCAGAACTCAATTGTGTCTTCAGCCCTGAAAGTTTCATGTGTCTGTCTCATGTACTGATTAGGCTTAAAGGAGATGGGAAATAATAAGAAAGTGTGAAATTTTTCACCCATCTCGATGTACTTCAAAGGCCTGTAACTGTGAAAATACTCAGACTATGAAGGTAAAACTTTGCATGGCGTCATTAGATGTCCTAAAGTTACTGTAGATAAAAATCAGCTGGTTGTGGAGGATCAGAGTGGAGGACTGGACATGTATTTCTGTGTAAATAATAATGTGTTCTGTTCTGCTCAGCACCAAAACCGTCAGACGATCCATCAGTTGGTGAATTTCAGAAAACATTTGATTCATCAACTGAGTGTTTTACAAGAAAGATCACAAACTGCAGCGTTTCCCAATATCACAGTGAAAATAAACCAAGAATTCATCCCAGCCAGCAATAAAGGACTTGCATGTGACAAAATGCATCATAGATGAGC